AAAAAAAAGGTATTCAGTGCTACAAGATTAGTTGAAATGTCTTCTAATTTTGTGTTTTAATTGAAAGTATGTTGTATTAAACGAGAAGCAATTTGCTGAAGTACGTTTTTTTTTTTTTTTGAACAGGAGGAAATTTGAGAAAAAGGAAAATAAGAGATTATTATAGCTTGAACTCTCACAGAAGCTAAGAGTTACGTGCATCCAAACCAAAACAGCCAGAGCTGTAAGTACTTGTTGAAGTACGTTTTAAATTTGAATTGTGTTTTAATTTGTATTGCTTGCTGCAATAATTCATTTTTCACAATCCTGCAATACACAAAATATAAGACAAACATACTAGGCAATTACTCAGCCATCTTGTTATTACCAGCCTAGCGCCTGGCCATCTTGCTATCATCACGAAGGGTGGATTTTAACTCAAAACAATTACTGGAAATTACACATTTATGGTTAAAGCGAAGTAAGTTATCTAACAGCCAAAAAACCTTTGCAAAAGAGATTCCAGTTGCCTGCAGCATATGCTATATTATTGTATATATGGCGTTACTCGAAATGCCACATAAGGTCTTTTACACAACAATGACAAATCACAATTTAATGAACGCATAGACGACAATTTATTTAAGGAGAAGAGGACAGCAAGCACACTCATAATCCAGGCTCTCAATGGGGCAACTATTGGCACTAATAGTAGCTATCTGCGAAGTGGTGTGTCTTCTTCACTAAAAGTGGCCGGCGGAGAGAATCATTCTCCTTTAAATCCACAACTGAATCACTTTCAATATCATGTGCCTCATCCCCATGGTTCACTTTATTCTCTTAATCCATTGATTCACTGTGTTTTACAATTCCACTGGCCTCTTAAACGAAACTTACATCATCTTAATCTCCTCCCTACACATAATCAGAATCCTAATTACTGCCTTCAAAGAAATTTAATCACAGATCCATCAAAAACAATGACACAAAAGTTAGTCAACGCTAGTAATTGTCATAACTTATAGTACCGGTGGGGTCTATATACCAGCTGAGGAAGTTGTGCTAGGCCAGATGTTCTCCAATGAGATAACGAAAGCACTTCTACCGGTTCATTACATAATACCTTCACAGCTGGGCACATACGATGGTACCACTGATCCGGTGGAGTACATTTGCAGCTACCAAATGACTATATGCTGGAGATGCAATCATGTGCCACCAGTTCCCAACTTCCCAACGTAACGTAGTTTCTACCTGGTTTCCTGACCTACTTGATAGATTCATCACCTCATTAAACAGCTAAGTTCTCTATTCATCTCCCATTTTATTCAATCTAAGCCACCTAAAGAGAGATTCAGAGTACTCAATGATGAATAACTAGGGAAAACTTGGGTAGCTACATAGGTAGATTTCATAGGGAAGCTCTGCTCACACCTTGTTGAAAATGTGCCTTGAATTACTTGAAGTAGGACTTTGCCTTGAACAAGCAAGGTGTTTACACCTCTGACTAGGATGCTGATGCCTGAAGAGGAGAAAATACAATACTGGCCAAAAAGGTTTAGGAACCCCCGGTCAAGGTTCTGGAACTATATTTCGAGGCATCATGTTGTCGATCCAATAAGGTAAAATGTCGACACCTCAGCAGAAAATTGGCAATCCGTGCGCTTCACTTTGTTTTCTGATTTAGAATTCAAGTCAATTTTGAAATTCTAATTGAAGAGAGACTCAACCAAATATTCAAGGAATTTTGAAGATCATATGGAGTTTTAGTCAAATTTATTTCCTAATTAATTCAAACTTGCTTTAGAATAAACTTTGAGACCCACATGATAATATATGATAATTTCCATTAGGACTTGGATTTATACTTTGGTAAGAACATAAAAACCCTACTTGAATTTATTATAAATGTGTTATTAGCAGACCTAGGATGTGAAGTGGAATCACAACTTTGCTGTGAAGATCCCAATCTACATGGGCTGACATGTGACAAGTGGTTAATGAGAAGATAGGGAGATGTAAGGAAAATCATAAGGGAGTTCTTAGAGAGACTAGAAGTACTTAGAGGACATTGAGAGGGGTCTTCTTATGTTGTAACTCTTTTCTCTTAGTTAGTGAGTCTCTTATCTTACTATATGGTTTTTTCTATTAAGGGTTTTTCATGTTTAATTTATGTTTTATTGTTTTTATTTTACTTTATTATTATTCACTTGCATAATTTTTTAGTGAGTCAAATCCCAACAATTGGCATAAGGGTCTGAAGAGCAAATTTTATGCCCAATGGTGGCATTTGAGATCAAAGGGGGAATTCTTAATTACCAACATACGTAACCTAGATAGCAAGGACGTAGCTTTGGTACTTCAGAATGGATTGTTAGATTCACCTTTCTATAGATCTCTGGTTAAAAATACCAATAGTAGATTATCAAAACTTGCTGCGAATCGAGGGCATGGAAGTACATTTAAGTTAGAGCAGAGATAATAAAAGGTCCTAGTCCTTTTCCCTTCTAATGGTAAAAAAAACCAATGGCTATTCACAGCCATAAGACCAAATCTAACAGCTATAGTAGTAGAGCCGTTGGTTAATTAATTGCCTTTTTCGTCTGCTATTATAAAAGGTCCGTGTAACAGCTTAACAACTTAACCCCAATTTCGCATTTTCTCTCAAAATTTTGAAAGAGTATGGTGTTTTGTAGTTCAAATTACATCAAATTATAAAACAACAATTATTAGACGGAAAAATACTCCCTTGCACCGTTCTTGATTTAATAGTTAGTATTTTATAGTTTAGTGTAGATAGCAAACAACTTTCGATTTTATTATCAACCAAGTAAAATTAAAATGACATTAACTTACTGCTTCTATAGCATTCTTTTCTTATTTACAACCAGGGCATTTTTTAATTAGTTTTAAAATATATAGTAATCTCTCTCTCATCAATCTTAAAAGCACACTTCTACATCGACATAATGAATTCATGAGAATTAAGTACTAGTTTGGTAGCCAAAACACCCAAAGAATATTTTGAAGCTAATCCACCACTAAAACTTAAAGTCGTAAATGCTACAAAATTGCATATATGCTTTCGTTTTATGATTTTTTTAATGTTAATTAAATTGAGTACTTATATTTTTTTCTTCCAAGAAGAAGGGTTGTATTGAACCATTTGAAGATAAACGACCACGGGATTATGTATGCCTTTTTTATGATATTTTTTCTACTGTTAAATTGAGAACATAATATTTTTTTTCTTGCAGGCAGAAGGGTTGGGATGAAGCAAAGCAAAGCAAAAATTAAGATTTCTTTGTCTCGCTAAAATGTAATCTACTTAATTTTCTTTCCTATATATTAACAACAGATTCAGATTTCAATAAAGTCGAATTGCCATCCATCACAATCTTCCTTTTTTTGATCAGTTCTTGTACTGTAATTGAATGTTTTGTGCAACTAAAAATATTTATTGGTATTTCTCGAAGCAAAGGCTTTTAAAATTAAAAAAAGGAGTTTACACAATGTTTTACAATAACTGTCATGTATGTATGTATATATATACACATATATAAAGGAATCCTTACCATATATAAATACATATTAGAAAACTTAATCCGGTCGACGACGGGGTATTGTGCTTTTGAGCAGTGCTAGGGGCACTGGCCTCCTGCACTCTCCGGCAACACTCCCCCTTTCATTGGGCCACGCGAGAGGTTGCACTTCAGAGCTTAAACAACCTTACGTGGCCCGATGAAAGGGGGAGTGTTGGCCGGAGAGTGCAGGAGGCGAGTGCCCTTAGCACTGCTCTTGTGCTTTTATTTGTTCACACTCCCTTCACTCAAATCAGTTACCACATTTTACTCATTTCTAATGATCAAAAAATTCATTTATTATAATAATTAGAACTTATTTTTCCATTTTCACTCCTATATATAATTAAACTAAAGAATCTTCATTCATTTCTATCACTTTAAAGAAAATGATAAAATTAAAATGTCAACATTTAATATCCTATTAAAATAAAAAATGAGATAATTAAATTAGATTACACCTATTTAAAAAGAGAGATAATTAAATCTAACTAATTGTATATATAAGTGGATGAAAAATTAATTTAATGATTTAAAGTAAAAAGAATTTTTTTTAAGTCAACATGATAGAAAAAAATGATAGATGTGCATATAAAATTATTTAAATATCCTTATTGTGTTTTCTTATACTTTAATAATTTTTTTTCCTTGCAAATTAACCTAAATATCCTTATCCGAAAATTAATATAGAAAATTTTTATGTAAATATTAATATGCAGATATTATTTCTGTTTACATCTTAGAAAAAAAGAGAAGAAAAACGAGAACTCATGAACGGGAATAATTGATATATAAAAATTAATATATAGTTATTTTTTTTTTACTACTGGATCCCAGCAATTATTTATTTGTCTAAATGGATGAATAATAAAAGGCTTTTTTTAATGTAATAGCAGATTACACAACCAGGGGTGCACTGCATTTTCTCAACTTTTCGACTACAAACCGAGAATCCAAACGACACAGGAATTGTGGCAATTTCATTATTATCTTCAAAGTAATAAACCACCTCATCTAGGCTTTCAAATTTCAGACTTACAACTGCATCCCTTTTTTCTTTTTATTTTTGGAATAAAATCAGGTAAGAAACAATGTCACCACAATTCTCATACACAAATATTTCTAATCAAATAATATTTTAAAGCATGAAAATACTTGAGATAGATATATGTGAAATCCGAATAAGTTCACCTGTAAGAAAATAGATAATAAATCTAGTGAAAAATGCCATTTTAATATAATGTAGATCTTCTCCATACGACAGTCCAATAGGGTATAACTCATCTACGAAATGAAATTTTTTGGAGAATATCAAAAGTAGGACCAACAAAAATGTAAAACTCTTTAAAAAAAAATCTACTTTACTTTTTCATACAACCAACGATTAAGGACACCATTAAGGGATGAGGTTTATTGGTAGATACCATTTTCTAGTAAGTGAAAATTTATAGAATTCAAAAAGATAAGGTAAATGCTAATGATGGCTACCATAATTCATAAACCCTAATGTTTGATAATTTCCACTGGAGTTTCTAATTAAATACTCTGCTTTATATCTTACTCAATTTGTAGAAAACACAAAAGAAATGCATTAGTGATTTCAAACACATAAAATCAAGATATAGAATTTTTTAGAAAACAAAAATAACTTCTCAGTCTAGGAGCTCTTACATGGTGATTTTGTTGCCTTTCATTTTTCAGTAATTCATATATTTTCCATGTACGTTTGTATTCTCATTTTCCTTTCATAAGAGAAGCTTTTCGCATAAGTTCATATGTATAAGAAAATAGACAATAAATCTAGTGAAAAATGTCATTTTAACATAATGTACATCTTCTCCATTCAACAATCCAATTAGTGAAAATTTTTAGAATTCAAGAAGATAAGGTAAATGCTAACTCTGCCTACTATAGTTCATGAACCCCAATGTTGATAATTTCTATTGGAGTTTCTAATGAAACACTCTGCTTTATATCTTACTCAATTTGAAGTAAACAGGGAAGAAATACATTAGCCATATCAAACACATAAATTAGGTTATAGAATTGTTTAAAAAAACAAAAGTAACTTCTCAGTATATCTTGGTGATTTTTCTACCCTTCATTTTTCAGCAATTCATATATTTTCCATGTATGTTTGTATTCTCATATTCCTTTCATTAGAGAAGCAAAATTCTTTTTAGTAATTTAATTTTTTTTAATGAAATTAAAATAGTAATAAACTATATACCAATAAAAAGGATATTTAATTAACATGCAATAATCATGCCAAGATCTGATGTCAGATCATTGCCCAACATCCTCCGAAGTTCCTTTTCTGTTCTTCAATTATTTACTTTCTCGGTTATTTTTATTTAGAAATGAACCTTGCTAATCTAATTTGAGTAACTATAGAGCACATAAGTTGCATACCAGAACTTCACTCCCTCCCTTTAAGCTCCCAAAAAGCAAGATCTTTTTGCTTTTATCAAATATCTTCTAGAATAATAAGCATCTGTAATTTTTTTAGTTAGAAGTATAAAATTTTCATCACGTGATTATATAAAGAGAAAAATATCAAATCTAAAACCAAGTAGAGACTAACTGGAAGGGAGATAAGTATCTTACCTGTGTCGGGAACCATCTGCTGGATAAGCACTGTAGCTTCCTATAGAGGCTGCAACCAGAGATCGGTTGAAGCTCTTCCCAGGGACCTTTCCATTGGCACCTTAGAACCGATCGTGTGCTTCCATAGCCAATTTAATGCTCTTCTGTAACAACTCTGCTTCTTCAATTGATAGTCCTCTGGAAAGGAACACAGAAATTACAGCCTGAATAGATGATACCAACAAGCCAATCAAATGCTTCTCTTGTCCATTAAATTGTTCACATTAAGCAGAGCAGACAATCTTCAAAATTTCTTCCACTGACTTAAGTAGACAATTTAAACATAAAATAGGACTTTAAGAAAATGCTAATTAGTTCAAAATTTTCTTAAGGCCACAATCCAACCCTCAGAAAAATGGTTAAAAAATCATTACAAAGGAAACTAAAGAAAGGAATCTCCATCACCGCTAACCCCTCACCTCCCTTGAATCCAATCTTATCCCATTACTCGTACTAAAACCAGAGATTGATGGAATCTTTCCAGGCAGTGACCTCCCCGTCCATCGGCTCTGAGCATCTTTCCTTAGGAGGAAGGAAATATAACAGAAATAAGGAAGAGAATCAGAGAATCGAGATGAAGAAGATAGAAACTCATCACCAAATAAAAATTGAAACAAAATCCACTTGACTGCAAAGAAAACTAGGGCATTTGTTGCTGAAAACTTCAACAGACACATTATACAATGCAGTCCCAAAATTTTCAGGGGTTTTGGATAAATTTCTATTCTTGAAATGGAAAAACAAGACGGATTCTAGAAATTACCATTGGCATTGGGTTCATCGGAGCTTAAATCAAACAGGGATAAATGTCCTTTGCTAAGAAACACAGCAGGATGCATTCATTTAAACCCAAAGCATCTGATTTATAAGATAAAATGAATAAGATAAAAAGCAGTAAAACACAGTGAACCCAAATACATTATTTTAAACAAAAGAGATATTAGTGTAAAGTGAGGAGGAAGTGGAGGGTGCAAAACCAAAATTACAGAGCTGCGCACCCTTAGCAGCAAATATATATAAGGTCATATAAAATGTAGAGTTACATAAAAGCCCTTAATATAAAACAAAATTACAAAATATGCCTATTTCCTACACT